GTCGTCACAGACACAACCAAGAAGGTGGAGGTGGTGGTGGAGGTGTAGAGACGTCGTCACAGACACAACCAAGAAGGAGGAGGTGGTGGTGGAGGTGTAGAGACGTCGTCACAGACACAACCAAGAAGGTGGAGGTGGTGGTGGAGGTGTAGAGACGTCGTCACAGACACAACCAAGAAGGTGGAAGTGGTGGTGGAGGTGTAGAGACGTCGTCACAGACACAACCAAGAAGGTGGAGGTGGTGGTGGAGGTGTAGAGACGTCGTCACAGACACAACCAAGAAGGTGGAGGTGGTGGTGGAGGTGTAGAGACGTCGTCACAGACACAACCAAGAAGGTGGAGGTGGTGGTGGAGGTGGAGAGACGTCATCACAGACACAACCAAGAAGGTGGAGGTGGTGGTGGAGGTGGAGAGACGTCGTCACAGACACAACCAAGAAGGTGGAGGTGGTGGTGGAGGTGTAGACACGTCGTCACAGACACAACCAAGAAGGTGGAGGTGGTGGTGGAGGTGGAGAGACGTCGTCACAGACACAACCAAGAAGGTGGAGGTGGTGGTGGAGGTGGAGAGACGTCGTCACAGACACAACCAAGAAGGTGGAGGTGGTGGTGGAGGTGTAGAGACGTCGTCACAGACACAACAAGAAGGAGGAGGTGGTGGTGGAGGTGTAGAGACGTCGTCACAGACACGACCAAGAAGGTGGAGGTGGGGGGGGAGGTGTAGAGACGTCGTCACAGACACCACCAAGAAGGTGGAGGTGGGGGTGGAGGTGTAGAGACGTCGTCACAGACACAACCAAGAAGGTGGAGGTGGTGGTGGAGGTGTCGAGACATCGTCACAGACACCACCAAGGAGGTGGAGGTGGTGGAGGTGTAGAGACGTCGTCACAGACACCACCAAGAAGGTGGAGGTGGTGGTGGAGTTGGAGAGACGTCGTCACAGACACAACCAAGAAGGTGGAGGGTGGTGGAGGTGGAGAGACGTCGTCACAGACACAACCAAGAAGGTGGAGGTGGTGGAGGAGGTGTAGAGACGTCGTCACAGACACAACCAAGAAGGTGGAGGTGGTGGTGGTGGTGTAGAGACGTCGTCACAGACACAACCAAGAAGGTGGAGGTGGTGGTGGAGGTGTAGAGACGTCGTCACAGACACAACCAAGAAGGTGGAGGTGGTGGTGGAGGTGTAGAGACGTCGTCACAGACACAACCAAGAAGGTGGAGGTGGTGGTGGAGGTGTAGAGACGTCGTCACAGACACAACCAAGAAGGTGGAGGTGGTGGTGGAGGTGTAGAGACGTCGTCACAGACACAACCAAGAAGGTGGAGGTGGTGGTGGAGGTGTAGAGACGTCGTCACAGACACAACCAAGAAGGTGGAGGTGGTGGTGGAGGTGTAGAGACGTCGTCACAGACACAACCAAGAAGGTGGAGGTGGTGGTGGACGTGTAGAGACGTCGTCACAGACACCACCAAGAAGGTGGAGGTGGTGGTGGAGGTGGAGAGACGTCGTCACAGACACAACCAAGAAGGTGGAGGTGGTGGTGGAGGTGGAGAGACGTCGTCACAGACACAACCAAGAAGGTGGAGGTGGTGGTGGAGGTGTAGAGACGTCGTCACAGCGACCCAGCTCCACTGCCGCCGCCGCTCCCCCCGACGCGGTTGTCCGCCTCGCCCGGCCCTGGATGTGACCTTGTGGGGGGTCGTGACCCTGCCTCCACACCGAGGGCCCTCGCCACGTGACCTTGAGCGGGGGTCGTGACCCAGCCTCCACACCGAGGGCCCCAGCCACGTGACCTTGTGAGGGGTCGTGACCCTGCCTCCACACCAAGGGCCGTAGTAGCCATGACGTCAACATTGGGGGGGGCTACATCTTCCAGGGGGTCTGGGGGTCCCGCCCCCTAAATTAAAATCTAAAATTTAAAACTAATTTCCTGCCTAAAATATAATTTTAAAAATTCACTAACGTCGTGAGAATTGTATTTAATGATGTTGTATTCTTATTATTTTATTATTTCCCTTCTACGTGACTTTACCGAAAGAACCAAGAATATGAATCCCTGCAGTCACGAAAGCTTTAAATCGAAATTTACATGACTCTGTTTTTTCTTTTTTACCTTTTCTTGTGTCATCGTATGTAATGGCAGAGATTAGGGATTCATAAAGTACAACCATAATCACAATCATATAAACATAAATCTGTTTTATATCGATATATTGTAGGGGACATTTAGTATAATTACGGCCTTGAAGAAGAAGGAGGAGCTACAAAGGGATCGTCCATAAATGACGTCACGCGATTTTGGACGATTTTTGACTCCCCCCCCCCCCCCTCGTCACACGGCGTCACCAAAAGTCAGACCCCCCCTCAAATATGACGTCACAAAGCTCTGCCCCCCCCCCCCCCAAAAATAAAACATGCTTCAAATCGCTGTAAACTATTGTCATTGTAGTGCGTATTTAATGTGGCGCTGCACTCTGATGTTGTAGGAGAAAACATTTATTACAAAGTCAATTTAATTAAGTAGAACGTGTTGTCTATATTTATTTAAAGTTGCGCATTTTGATGTGACGTCACATTTCTCACCCCCCCCCCCCTCGTCACCCCCCCCCCCCTAGGTGCGTGACGTCATTTATGGACAGCCCCTAACGTGCGTAAGTGTGGGCGCCACGGTGGCTAGGAGATGTTGACTACCTCGCCTGGTGTGCAGGAGGTCGTGGGTTTAATCCCGACCCTGACGATGCCTGCTGCTGTATATTGAGTTTGCGTGTCTCTCTCTCATCATCATCACGGTGGCTAGGAGATGTTAACTACCTCGCCTGGTGTACAGGAGGTCGTGGGTTCAATCCCGACCCTGACGATGCCTGCTGCTGTATATTTGGAGTTTGCGTGTCTCTCTCTCTCATCATCACTGTGGCTAGGAGATGTTGACTACCTTGCCTGGTATACAGATGGTCGTGGGTTCAATCCCGACCCTGACGATGCCTGCTGCTGTATATTTGGAGTCTGCGTGTCTCTCTCTCTCATCATCATCACGGTGGCTAGGAGATGTTGACTACCTCGCTTGGTGTACAGAAGGTCGTGGGTTCAATCCCGACCCTGACGATGCCTGCTGCTGCTGTATATTTGGAGTTTGCGTGTCTCTTTCTCTCCCCGTGGCCACGTGGATTTTCCCCGGCTTCTCCTCCGGTTTTCCCCTCGACATTTAGAATCAACGTCACGCGTTTCGAGTATTTGCCAGCGGCTATAAATGTCCACACAATGCTGATAAACCCACTCCCGTTGAGCTGTCATTTGTGGCCAGGTCGCTTCTGAAAAATAAAGAGTTACATAGCTAAGTGGTGAAATTAAAACATAGTTTAAAGTGTCATTGCGGGTGTTACAATCGCAGCAATAACCAGGGCGGGCTGCTGGATTTGAACCGCGAACCTCATGTCTGATGGTCAATGCAGTGAATAGATTTTACTGGTAGGAACCTCCTGGTTACACCAGCCCACAGGGGATTATTGTGTCCGTCCGTCTGTCGTGCATCCAAAAATGGGAGGGGTGGGGCTGGGTGGAGAGGGGAGGGTGGGGAGGGGCTGGGTGGGGAGGGTGGGAAGGGTGGGGAGGGTGGGGAGGGTGGGGGGGTGGGAGAGGTAGGGCTGGGTGGGGAGGGGAGGGTGGGGAGGGGCTGGATGGGCATGGTGGGGCTGGGTGGGGAGGGGCTGGGTGGGAGGGGTGGGGCTGGGTGGGGAGGGGCTGGTCACCCCGTGGTGCCCTTATAAAACTCAACGTTTAACCTACTCACGCCGGCTTGTGCCCGCCCTCACAGTCGGGCATATTTGCGGAATACACCACGCCGCCGTTGACCCTGCAGGCCATTGACCGAGCAACCCAACGTTCCTACCAGCTCCCTCCGCAGGAATGTGTTATAGAAATGATAAATCTAGAGTATTTGGCGATGAACCGCAAACCTCATGTCTGATGGTCACCGCGGTGGAAAGATTTTATAGAAATTATAAATCTCGAGTATTTGGCTGCTATCCAATTTCCACGTGGCGAGCCACTTCATAGAGCGAACATTTGCTTCTGAAAGAGCTACGGAGCCCAATGGGACATTATATACCTGATGAAATAAAATATAAAGTTACTCGTTTTCACTGTGTAACAATAACATATGTTGTTTGTTCCTGGGTATTAAGTGTTATTTCGTAATTGCTTATGCCTCAAACGTCCAGAAAACGGCGATTATTCCCCACAAATTCTAGATTTGAAGCTTTCGTGACTGCAAGGATTCATACTCTTACCTACGTGACTTTAGCGAAAAAAAATCACACAAACTTTGCTTTTGTGACCAGAACTGTGATAGTTTGAAATTGGCCTATATTTTTTAAAATGAGAAAACGCGATGCGCATTTGTGCCATTCCTTCACGTAAAGTCCCGGTCACAAAAGCAAAGTTTGTGGGGTATAACAATAGCTACTTTTTCTTGGTTCTTTTGGTAAATTCACGTAGAAGGGAAGACGGCTGCTTGCGTTGTAGCCGAAACGTCGTGGTGAGAATTATTGTATTTTATTATGTTTTATTTTTATTATTTTATTACTTCCCTTCTACGTGACTTTACCGAAAGAACCAAGAAGATGAATCCCTGCAGTCACGAAAGCTTTAAATCGAAAAATAGCTACTTTCTATACTTTTGAGGCATAAGCAATTAGGAAATAACACTTACTACCCAGACACAAAAATCGTGTTACAAAGCGAATTATCCACACGCATTCAATAACAACGTGTACGTGCGTGTGTGTCCTCTGGCTTTCATAGGTGCTCGCTAACAACACTTGCTCCTTACATTCTGTTAAGGCTATGCGGGGGATCTTTATCTTTTGTATACTCTGTGCAGAGGCCACGTGGCCTCGAGGTGCACCGAGCCTGGCACGGGCTCCGAGGTGATGTCACCGGCACGCAGAGATGAATGGGGCGTGACTTCCAGCTCGTACCTGGCGGCCAGGTGAGTGTGTGGGCAGACGCGTGAGAGGAGCGGAGAGACAGGTACGTGTTGGTGTGTTAGTGTGGGTGTGTGTGTGGGTACGTGTGTGTGTGTGTCTGTGTGTTAGTGTGTGTGTGTGCGTGTTAGTGTGTCTGTGTGTGTTAGTGTGTGTGTGTGCGTGTTAGTGTGTGTGTCTGTGTGTGTGTTAGTGTGTGTGTTAGTGCGTGTCTGTGTGTGTGGGTGTGTGTGTGTGTGGGTACGTGTTAGTGTGCGTGTGTTAGTGTGTGTGTGCGTGTTAGTGTGTGTGTCTGTGTGTGTGTGTACGTGTTAGTGCGTGTGAGTATCTGTGTACGTGTTAGTGTGCGTGTGTGCGTGTTAGTGTGTGTGTGTGTCTGTGTGTGTTAGTGTACGTGTTAGTGTGCGTGTGTGTCTGTGTGTGTGTGTGGGTACGTGTGGGTGTGTGCGTGTTAGTGTGTGTGTGTGGGTGTGTGTCTGTGTGTGTGTACGTGTTAGTGTGTGTGTGCGTGTGTGTGCGTGTTAGTGTGTGTGGGTACGTGTTAGTGTGTGTGTGGGTATATGTGTATGTGGGTACGTGTTAGTGTGTGTGGTGTGTGTGGGTATCTGTGTGTGTATCTGTGTGCGTGTGTGTATGTGTGTGTGTGTATGTGTGTGTGTGTGGGTGTGTGTTTGTGTGTGTGGGTATCTGTGTGCGTGTGTGTGTGGGTATCTGTGTGTGTGTGAGTTTGTGTGTGTGTGGGTATCTGTGTGTGTGTGTGTGGGTATGTGTGTGTATCTGTGTGCATGTGTGGGTATGTGTGTGTGTGGGGGTATGTGTGTGTGGGTATCTGTGTGTGTGTGAGTATGTGTGTGTGTGCGGGCGTGTTTGTGTGTGTGTGGGTATCTGTGTGTGTGTGTATCTGTGTGCATGTGTGTGTGTATCTGTGTGTTTGTGTGTGTGTGTATCTGTGTGCATGTGTGTGTGTATCTGTGTGTGTGTGCGGGTGTGTGTGTGTATGCGGGTGTGTGTATCTGTGTGTGTGTGGGTATGTGTGTGTGCGGGTGTGTGTTTGTGTGTGTGGGTATTTGCTGTGTGCGTGTGGGTGTGTGTTTGTGTGTGTGCGGGTGTGTGTGTGCGTGTGTGTGTATCTGTGTGTGTGGTGGGGAGCGGTAGTGCTGTGGTCAGTACACTACACTACGATTCCCGCTCACGGCCAACACCAGTGACGATTATCTGAACCGGTCCTGGGCCTCCCCTAGGTCGACTCAGCCTCAAACGAGTACCTGGTGCTGTGTAGTAAACATCGCCACTGGGGAGACAAAGGCGGTCGGGCATGGTGCTGGCCACCCACCCCCTCGTGTGCCGTGCCGGCCTTCATAGGTGCTGCTCGCTAACAGCACTTGCCCCATCATTCTGTTAAGGCTAGACGGGGGATCTTTGCCTGTCGTGTGTGGTTAGACACGTGAGAATAGTGGGGTGTGAGCGTATGTGTGAGTGTGTGGGTGGGTAAGTGTGTGTGTGTGTATCAGTGTGTGAGTGGGTATGTGTGTGTATATCAGTGGGTGAGTGTGTGGGTGGGTAAGTGTGTGTGTGCGTATCAGTGTGTGAGTGTGTATTGTGCATACCGGTGTATGTGTGTGAGTGGGTGTGTGTGTGTGTTGTGCATACCGGTGTATGTGTGTGAGTAAGTGTGTGTGTGCATATCGGTGTATGTATGTGTGTGAGTGGGTAAGTGTGTGTGTGTTGTGCATAACGGTGTATGTGTGTGAGTGAGTGTATATCGGTGTATGTGTGTGAGTAAGTGTGTGTGTGCGTATCGGTGTATGTGTGTGAGTGGGTAAGTGTGTGTGTTGTGTTATATCGGTGTATGTGTGTGAGTAAGTGTGTGCATATCGGTATATGTGTGTGAGTGTGTGCGTATCGGTGTATGTGTGCGAGTGGGTAAGTGTGTGTGTGTGTATATCGGTGTGTGTGTGTGTGTATATCGGTGTATGTGTGTTAGTGTGCATGTGTGTGCGGTGTGTGTACAGTATATGAGTGGGTGTGTGTCTGTGTGTTAGATAATGTCTACGTGCTTAGGTATGTGCGTGGGAGCGGTGGCGCAACGGTTAGCGCTGCGCTGCGAACCCGGCGACCCGAGTTCGATTCCCGCTCGCGGCCAACACCCGCGACGATTATCCGAACCGGTCCTGAGCCTCCCCTAGGTCGACTCAGCCTGAAACGAGTACCCGGTGCGGTGCGCAAACATCGCACCACCGGGGAGACAAAGGCGGCCGGGCGTGGTGCCACCCACCCACCCCCTCGTGTGCCGTGCCGGCCTTCATAGGTGCTGCTGCTACTTGCTACGTGGGTGAACTTTGACTCATCTCAGGCAGCCTACAACGCCTGGGTCTGCCCTGTGACCTTGCCAGCAACGAGACTTCTTGAGCCCTTCCTGGCGTGGCAGCCTCAACATGCACCCAGCCTGGCACGCGCGTGCGTCACGGCCCAGTGGACATGCCCTCCTTGCACCCACGCTGGGCCCAATGCTGCAGCAATGTTGGGTCCATGTTGGGTCGACGGCGGGCCGACGTTGGACCGACGTAGGGTCAACGTCGGGACGACGTCGGGACAATGTTGGATTAACGTCGGACCAGCGTTGGGTGAACGCCGATCCAACGTCGATCCAACGTCGTACCAACGTTGGGCCAACGTCGGACCATCGTTGAGAAAACGTCGGGCCAACGTTGGGTGAACGTCCGACCAGCGTTGGGCGAACGTCGATCCAACGTCGGACCAGCGTTGGGACAAACGTCGGGCCAACGTTGGGTGAACGTCCGACCAACGTCGTACCAACGTCGATCCAACGTCGGACCAGCGTTGGGAAAAACGTCGGGCCAACGTTGGGTGAACGTCCGACCAGCGTTGGGTGAATGTCGAGCCAACGTTGCCACGGTCCATTCTTAACCAGTGCGTGCTGTCACTCTGTCAGTAGCAGCAGCAGCAGCGGGGGGCTTTGAAGGAGCTGCCGACCAATGGGGAAGGAGGATGAGCTGTGGAGAGCCGTGCAGAGCGGAGACGCGGCGAGCCTCAGACGCCTCCTGCTGAAGCACCCGGAGGCTAAGAGCCGTGAGTAGAGCCAGAGAGCCACAGAGGGCGAGAGAGAGAGACTTTTAAACATACTCTTAGTCTTAGCGTTTTTTCGGTAAAGTCACGTAGGTAAAAAATTTACCCGTAAAAACAAAGTTTTTCACTATAAATCCTTTATATGAGTGGCATCGGTTTTATTTTATTATTCATTTCTGTTTTTCTTGAGTAAGAGTTTCATTTTGATCACATTGGTATTTTAAATTAAATACGAAATTTTTTTTCCTAAAAAGTGGCAAATTTTGGGGGAAAAAATTTCACGAAAATAAATTGTCACGCACAACGAGTCTGTGTGCAAAATGTCAGCTCGATTGGATCACGGGAAGTGGGTTAAAAAACGACCGAAAGATTTGCACGGTCGTAAGCGCGCAAGCAAGTGAACTTAATATAAAGGATTTAAAAAATAAAATAAAAATTAATAAAAGTAATAATAGAAATAAAATAATAAATCACGACGTTTCGGAGGCAACGCAAGTCTCCGTCATCAGGTGGGACCGTCACAGCCAGATTTACTGTGTCAAGTGAGGCAGGGATTCAAGATACACGTTCTTAAATACAAGTTAAGGGAGAGGAGGGGGGAGGGGCTTATCTGAATGTGGTTGCCAATGAGTGGAACGTATTGGGAGGGGGGAGGCCGGGCTAAGATAGAACAAAAGGTGCACGTGCACCTGTTTGTGCACGTGCTAGAAGAGAGCGACAATGCCCATGTTGTTGTTTTTACCCAATTATGGCTGACAATCAAATACAAAAAAGGAGAGTACTGTTAAACGCTGGGGATGTCAACACTCGGTAAAGTACTTCTATCGCTCTTGACTTGAAGCTTTCGTGACTCCGGGAATCCAAACTCTTTGGGTCTTCGGTAAAGTCACGTGGCTAGAAAACTGATAGATCAGCAACACAACAAGCCATCGTCCTCAGGTGACACAATACAGCAGGCGGACTGCTGAGGCAAGAGGAAATGTAAACATTATCTAACACGATAATTGGTTTTTGACCCTTTTAGCTGGCAACAAAACTGTCAGTTTTGTTGCCAGATAAAAGGGTAAAATAACCGATTATCATATTTTTTACTGGCAAATGAGGTGCCAATGGTGTGAATGATCTAACACGTTCACTCTCGCCTCAGCGGCCCGTCTGCTGTATCGTGTCACCTGAGGACGATGGCTTGTTGTGTTGCTGCTGCCGTCGTCGAGACGTCGTGCTCGATTGTTTTTCTCACGACGTCACTTTACCGAAACACTTCTATCGCCTCCGGTGCAGCTAGGCCTCGGCAAGGTAGGTAATTTACCCTTTTTACCGGGTAAAAGGGTCAAGGATAAAGGGTAAAGATGTCGACATGCCAAGGGGTAAGGTAAAGAGTAGGGTAAAGGTAGCTCGGAAGAATTACCTGGTAAATACGGTGCCTTGTCTACCGCTAGAAGCTCCGTGGCGCAGTCCGTGGCCTCCATTTAATAAGTAATATTTAAACAAACTTTCTTAAAAACACACTTTTATTAAATGTGCGAGTAATGGCAGAACTCCACGACTCCAGGAAGTGGCCCCGAAGCTTGCCGTAACGTAAGGGACCTTGGCCAATTACAGCCAAAGTCAGTTGAGTGTGGACAATTAGACCCAAGCCGAAACAGAACATGTAAAAAAGGATTTTATGATAGAATATAGTGTTGTCATCAGTATGACATAAGTATACCAAGTTTGCAGTCGATACATATTAGGAAGTGCGTTAAAATTTTGTTACAAGATTTGAGGATACAACGACGACTACGACGACAACAACAATGACAACAACAACGACAAGCATGTAAAATTGGAAACATTGAGAGTATTCTATATGAATAAAGCGCTCCACCTAGCATTTACCGTTATAAACCTTGTTCATGTGTAGTAGTACCCCAGTAATTACCCTGTAATCAGGTAATTTGTATGGGCTAAGGGTAAAATGTAGGGTAAAAGGTAGGGTAGAGTGATTGTATTGTGGTAAGGTAAAAGGTAGGGTAAAAATAGGCTCGTTGTTATTACCTTTTAACTTTTACCTTACCTTGCCAAGGCCTAGGTGCAGCAACCGCACTCGAGGCGATTTCGATACGAAACACAAAGTCACCAGCAACAACAGATGACACAAACACAATAGAAACACGCGCTGTGGCACTGCACGCGCCACGCACAACACCGAGACGTCACGTGGTGGTGGTGGTGGTCGTGGCGCACGCCAGGCCCGACGGGCGAGCACGTGGGAAGGGGGCAAGGCAGAGGTCGCAAACGGGTTTTGATTCCTTACCCGTACCCGGCCGCACCAGGGCCGGGTACGGGTATCGGGTACCCGATTGCGACCTCTGGGATGAAGCCATGTTGCAGGCGCGGGTGGGTTGATTCTAGGAACTTGAATTGTGAGAAGAGACAAGACGTTGGGAAATGAGTAACAAACGGTTACTCACCAGTGACTCACGGCCTACCCGTACCCGGCCGCACCAGGGTCGCAAACGGGTACCCGTACCCGGCCGGGTACGGGTAGCAGGGTATCGGGTAAGGTACGGGTATCGGGTACCCGGTTGCGGCCTCTGGGGCAAGGAGGGTGCCGGTCACGCCGGTACAGAGAGGGGCCTTTCCCGGCCCCCCAGCGTTCGGAGAAGACGCGGGGCGCATCACCGGCACGTGAGGGGTCCGCGTGCTCCAGCCGGAGCCGCGTCTCGAGCAGCCCCTGAACACTGGCAGCACCACAGAGCAGCCGTCAGTGTCGCCTTGCAGCACCTCTTTCCTCGTCTTGTACACCGCCATGTTCGCTTGGGCGCAGACGAATTTGGTGAGATCATGGCGCTTGTTAGCCAGAGAGAGAGAGCGAGAGGGGGGGGGGATATTAAGGAAAGCATTTAAAACAAAAACACGAAATGATGAACGAAGCAAAGTGCCGACTACACCGAGCATCGTTTTGTTTCCTCTGATTGTAAAAAGAGAGAGAGGGCGAGAGAGAGAGAGAGGGCGAGAGCGAGAGAGAGCACGAGAGAGAAAGTGAGAGAAAGTGAGCGAGAGAGCGAGAGAGCAGAACCAGGCTGGGCCTGGCTGTTGGAACGGGACCTCCTTTGTGGTTATTGGCAGAGATGGGCAACATCTAAATAATAATACAGCCGTAATAGCATCGTCATAGTATTGGTATGTTTGGTAGTCGTGCCGTTGTTGTTATAAAGCATAGCTCAAATGTATAATTGCGCATCCCATCCTAGGATCTCCAATTGTGCAATGCATGAAAAGCTGTGACGTAAAGAACACGGAAGGCCACTTTAAAGAGATGACTTTCGAGAGATGGGTTTAAAGAAATGGGTTAAAGAGATGACTTTAAAAAGATAGGTTTAAAGAAATGACTTTAAAGAGATAGGTTTAAAGAAATTGGTTTAAAGAGATGACTTTAAAGAGTTGATTTAAAATAGATTACTTTACAGAGATTCCTTTATAGAGATGACTTTAAAGAGACGCCTTTAATGAGATTACTTTAAAGAGATAGGTTAAAAGAAATGGGTTTAAAGAGATGACTTTATAGAGATTACTACTTTATAGAGATGACTTTATAGAGATGGGGGTTCAAGGCAGAGTAGTGTAGGTTATGGAGCGGCAGGCTGTCCCACAGGAAGGCGCTGTATGGTGCTAAACATACTCCGATGTCGCGATGTACATTCCCAAACGAGAACATCATTTGCGGTGTACGTGATGTTCTGTACATTATTTGGAAAGATAACAACTCAAACTTTTGTAATAGAACTGCGTTTTATTGTTGTTGTGGTGTTCTACCGCAACCTCCGATTATCACGGTTGGCTACGTACGGTGCGAAAGAAGTTAAAAATACATGCAAACTACTATACACTATACACTACACTATCATACACTACACTACTATACAATACACTACACGATACATTCCACGACTACACTATTATACACTACTATACACTACAATACACTGCTATACACTACTATACACTACACTACAATACACTATACACTACACTATACATTCCAATACTACACTATTATACACTACACTATACACTACACTATACATTCCACTACGACACTATTATACACTACACTATACACTACAATACATTATACACTACTATACATTCCACTACTACACTATACACTACTATACACTACACTATACACTACACTACTATACACTACACTATACACTACACTGTACACTACACTACTATACACTACACTGCTATACAATACACTACTATACACTACACTATTATACAATACACTATACACTACACTATGCACTACACTATACACTACACTATACACTACACTATACACTACGCCGTTATTAGGAAGCCACTGGAGCTATGCACTTTTAAATCGTAATTTCTTTAGAGCTGCGTTTTGTGTTTAGTTTATTTTCCTCCTCCATCCACACTTCCAAATAGCACGTTTGGTGAGATGTTAACTACCTCGCCTGGTATACAGGAGGTCGTGGGTTCGATCTCCAACCATGACGCCTGCTGTATATTTGAAATTTGCGTGTCTCTCTCTCTCATCATCATCACGGTGGCTAGGAGATGTTAACTACCTCGCCTGGTATACAGGAGGTCGTGGGTTCGATCTCCAACCATGACGCCTGCTGCTGTATATTTGAAATTTGCGTGTCTCTCTCTCTCATCATCACCACGGTGGCTAGGAGATGTTAACTACCTCGCCTGGTATACAGGAGGTCGTGGACTACCAATGTCTGCAGCCAGGATCAATCGATGACAATCCTATTACCTGCAGATGTTTAACAGATGAGATGCGTTGCACCGTCAATTCCTCCTGCTTGATAATTAATAATTCTCTTGTCCGTGTGCATCTGTGCAGATAGTTTTTGTTGTTGTTGCGGTTAAGCCATAGTCCCCACACACCGCTCGTATCAATGCGGATAAGAGGAGTGGTGACCCACTACTCTGTAGAGTAACATCGGTATAAACGCTTGTTACAACATAAACAGCGC